AGGGTGGAGCTGCCTTAAACAGCACTTGGAAGGTCTCTGCAGTACCTGCTCCCAAAGACCAGCAAGGCTGCACAAGCACCAGCACACAACACATTTGCCCGCATTATTTCTCTGCTCAGAACAGGCATAATGTGCGATAAGAAGAAGCATTCCAAAACTCAGAGGAGCAGAAGAAAATCCAACTAAGCTACCCAAACAAATATCCACAGTCTTAATGCTACTAATCGCTGTATCACCAATTCGAACTAGATCCCTACTATACAGGCCCCTGTGTGCATGTAGAAGATAACTGGTGTCAAAGAAACCAAAGGATGTCAAGTCCAGAAACACATGCGGGATCAGGGGCTGGGGTAGTACCTGCGTCTGGACCTGACCAACATCATTAGCTCATACATGCCAGTGACACCTTCCCTCACTTTACCTGCTTGGAAAAACACCGACAGCACAAGTCAGCTCCCCAGTACAGAGAAGAGCCAGCCCAGCCTTTCCTTTTTAGCCACCTATTTGCATTTTGACAGTGTTAATCACTGCTCTGCAACAACATCCTTTCTTCTCAGGAACACATCACTGTGTCACTCTTTCACCTTCAACTTTCTCCACATTAGCAAAGGCTATGTATTTTAGGCTTAAAATCTTGGTATTTTATCTTGGCAGCTCTGCCTTCCTACACAGAAAACGCGCTTCCCTTTTTTGATCTCAAGTCTTGCATCTCTACCTGGAACCCTAAATCCTACTTATAGCAATAAATAATAATAATCAATATATACCGTATGCTTTCTTTCATATTCTCATATATAAATTGTACATGTCTCTTAAGAATTGGTGTGGGAAAATATATTCTGTGGCATTCTTCATAAAAAAAAATAGTTACAGCCTATTCTACATACTAGGAATTCAGCAAGACACAGCAAGAAATCAATAAAAACACAAATTGCTCCATCAATACGTACATTCATTTATACTCTTCAAGGTTATCTTTGCTATGCTAGCACAGAGACACATTTTCTCCATATATAGCCATGCATATTAAACTAGGCAAGAGAGATAGGAAAGGAAACAAAAGCTATCAGTACAAATCTAATCTAGCTAGCATGCACATTCAAAGACTTTCGGGTTGGCTTTCTCCTCTGTTCAGGAAGCAGTCTGAAATCCAGGCACAGCAGCTGACACTGACTCTCCATTCCCTGTAAAATCATCTCCTCCCAAGTCATGTATGTTTAGTCATATAAAACATCTACAAATTCATCTTACATATAATTCTACCCACTGTCATAATGTCTATGAACAGGACTTCTTTTGCATCAGTGATAGAGAATGGGTTATGACCAACGAATTGACAGGTTAAATTCTGGTCAATGATCACACATGTCTAAGGATAACAAAGAACACCTACATAGGTGTGTTTTGGGCACTTCACATACATGGACTTTCTGAAACCCACCAGTCCAGAAAGACGCCACAAATCTCACATCTCTACTAATGTTCTGGTTGATAGATGATGAAGGTGGTATTTTCAAAGAACTGGGTCTGTTATGCACAAAATGAGATTCTGCAAATATTGAGCTTTAGGGCCAGAAGAGTTCCTATTCCTAGTAAAAAATGCAAAAATACCAGGAAAGATGTGAAATAGGACATGCCAGAGGTAACAGACTCCAAACAAGCAAGGCAGTGACAGGGAAGGGTTTCTTTGCAGGTATCTGACACAGGCTAGTTGCAGTAGGAGATACCTCTTTTTACTTGCAGTAAAACATTCATTGCAGAGAAACAACATTTCAAGATATTACACTGGTTAACAGAGTGCACACATGCACTGCTGTTTTGGCATGTTATTAATATTGTGCATAATAATATGCTACTTAGTTGCAGAATTCTTATTGCACCATTTATTATTTGTACAGTTCCATCAAAGCTTGACTTGCCAGGCCAGTGCCATTGGTATTTTCCCATTCTGTCCATTCCTGATGCAGTCTCTTGCCTTTTATTTCTACTGTGTTTATTATTAAATGCACAGTTTCTGCAAGGTCAAGCTGAACATGCACCTTCCAGTAGGAGCTGAACATTACATTGTCTGTGGTGAATATTCAGTATTTCTGTAGGTGTGTCCAAGGAGAGACCACGAGCCTTGAAAATGCACAGAAAGAGCTGCTTCCTTCATGCACTTTTGTGATGCTGAGTGCGTGGGTAACAGCTGTTCTCTTTGCTCCCATTCACCACGAGTGAGAACACAAAGGTATAGATGTGAATTACTTTGTTGTATTCTGGGCATCTCAAATCTTAATGCAGGATCAGCCATGTGTAACTAACTGGGGAGCGGTCTAGTTCTTCTGATGAGACCTGGATTCACCTACAACTTATGTGCCTTGATCCTACTCATTTTCTCAGAACCTGAGCAATTTTTACTAATACAGGTTTTTCTTTTCCTATCAAGCAGTCTTCTACTTCTCAGATGAAAGCTTCTTTAAACACTATGTGAGAGAGTAAGATAGAAGTTTATGTTCTTGGAAAGCATCATGCTGCTCTGGAGGCACCTGAACACATCTTTTTGGCCATACAACATTGAGTTCAAAACCGTTTCTTAATCTGACTCTCCATTCTTCTTTGTGTGAGGTGCATTCTTAAACACATTTACAGGGAAACCTGTCAGGGAGCTATCTGTGATGAAACCTCAGCAAATCTTGCAGAAGACAAGAGCAGAGAACCCAGACAGACATATATCATGAGAGTTGCACAGCAGAGCAGTCTTAAAACTGTAGAAACTTTCTGTGCTGGAAAACCTAAACAGAACAGTTAGCAAACTTGTTTGTTTCCCTCTCCAGAGGCTGAAAGCAAACTTCACTAGTGTTTTCCCCTCCATGGGGTGCCTCAGCAATACATGTGTTGTTATGATTTTTGCCCAGTCCATGTTCAATATGGAAATGACAGTCTTGCAATTTTTGTAATCATCTCACAATCTATCTCTGGATTTCAGCATTTAAGCAGACAGGGGCATCGTAACGCCCCATGATTAGCTCTGATTGTGAAACTCCTTCCATAACAAAATGATAAAAGTGATCAATCACCTTAACAATAGTTAATAGCTCTTATCCAAAGACATAATAATCCCACTCTGCAAGCTATTACCCTATCAGCCCAGCCTTATGCCTGAAGCAACACTGTCCTTTCTTATCTAGACACCTGAAAGGACACCTCTTCTCATGGTCCCACAGGCTTCTTTCCACCCTCCTCCACCTCTGCAGAGTAATTCTTGCTCCTCTTTCATTACCACAAAAGTCAGTTGGAGAAACTCTCTAAGACTCAATTTGGAGTTATAGAAAGCAGACATTCTTTATGTGCTTTCTTGCTGAGTGGGGGTCTCTGGTGGTTGTTGATAGTCTTCCTCACTGTGCTTTACTGAATGTTCGCAGTGCTTGTACATGCTCACAGGGTCCTAGTGCTGAGTTACCAGTTGGTATGTCCTTGCTTCTGTTCTGTTCCAGTCTCTCTCCATGACGAGTGCCACTGTTATATTGAAGGCTAGCATCCTTGGTTTTATTTACTGTCTCCTTAGTTGTTATCAGTCCTGTGATGTTTTTCCCCATCAGCTGAACATTTCTTTCTCTCTATGTGTTAGCAAGTTAGAACCGTCTGCTGTATTTTACTATGTTAGTTTAAAGCCACACACATTATTGTTAGTTTAAACCTACAATTTAAGCCTACACTCTGACTGCCAGCATCACCCTAAAATCTCAAATAGCTCCTTGGGAGGCTCTTGTTGGAAGTGTCCAATACTGAAAGCCACCTCTTGCTGCCTGGCTATCTTTTACATCACCAGATGTCACATTAGTACCAGACTTTCTTCTTTATCGTCCTTTTTCCTAGAATCATAGAATTACTTAGGTTGGAAAAGACCTTTAAGATCATCAAGTCCAACCATTACTCTAGGACTGCCAAGTCCACCAGTAAACCTAACTGAGGGCCTCATCTACATGGTCTTTGAACACTTCCAGGGATGGTGATTCTACCACTTCCCTGGGCAGCCTGTTCCAATGTCTGATCCCTCTTTCTGTGAAGAAATTTTTTCTAATATCCAACCTAAACCTCCTGTGGCACAGCCTGGGGCCTTTACCTCTTCTCTTATCACTTATTACTTGGGAAAAGAGACCAAGCAATCAGATTTTCCAGCTATTTTCTCTTCATCTCATTGAAAGGTGCAGGAATGCAGTGACTTTATCTTTTCCAGCCCAGCTATTGCCTCTCTCTGGGAACAATCAATTACAGATGATGCCACAACTTTAGCAAGAGGAAAGGTCATTCCACTAAACTCTCTATGCCCCTCTGGTATGCCTTGAACCTACTTTTGCTCATTTCTAATTAAACTCTGCTGAGTATATTGAATGTTAATGGACTTTTCATTTTTTTATGGTATGAGATAAAACTTTCTGAGAAAGTGAAGACAAAGTTTGCAGGGTTTGTGTAATATGAAGACATGACACATTTCCATGTGGAAATAGAATAGTGTGGGTTGGAAGGGGCCTTTAAAGGTCATCTAGTCCAACTCCCCTACAATGAGGGACATCAGGATGGTCATCCCTATTTGTGTACTAAAAAAGGCTCATATTCCTTATGCTGGATTCAGAGAGCAGCAGGATCTTCAGCATTCTGTAACTGTCTTCATTGTTGCAATCTGCACATGTGCTCCTGAGACTTGCTCCTGCTTTCACATAGGTCTTTCTTTTCGTTTGTAAAGCCAGACAGGGCACTTGGAATGCTGATCTGGGGACAGGGTGAGTTTTCAGTTAATATTCCTCAATCACTTTTCTGCAGATTTATCACTGTGAGCTAGTCCAGCCCACCAGCCATCAGCAGGGGTGAGCTCATGAAAGAATAAAAGGACTCACCTGCTGAGTTAAAACTCCTCTATAACCTTTGGAGAGGCACACTCTGTCCTGTGACAGAGAAGAAAAGGGCACCATGGAGTTGGAAGAGGTCTGTAACACAGATCCCAGAATGAACCAGGAGCATTCATGGTTTCCCAAAGCTTAAAGAGTAGCAGAGCTTCAAAGGATACCATCATTAAATATCTTTTCTTTAGGCTATTCATTAAGTAATAGCCAGAAAGAGAAAAAAAGAAAAATCAACTCATCAGTACTGTAACATAGGTAGAGTCATAAACAAGATAGGACAAAACAACTGGAAAGTGGAGACAAATTTCTTAACCAAGCAAGGGAAAAACTGGGTGCAGGACATTGGGGGTGTTGCTGAAATTTCCACAGGAACACAGTTTGGTCCTGTGGGCACATATAATGTTCTAGTGCAGTCAGGTATTCCTCGAGAAGACCTGACGTGGGATGAGCACTTTTTCACTAAGGGAGTTTCCTGGCCAGCAGTAGCACATCACACAGAGAGCATCTTTGACAATGTCCATGTTTCCAAACGTGTCATCCTCTGACAAGCAAACTTTAGTTTTCACATCTTTAGGTGATATATCAATAAGTAACTACAGGTTCCCTTTTCCCGTGCAATGCACAGAAATTGTATCCACTTTGGAGAGATGCTTCACTTACTCTGTGATTCAATAGGAATGACTTCACTAGCTGTGCTTTTGCTTTCTATTTTAAGAGGAGAAAGAACCTGTCTTGGAGGCATACAATGGGAGATAAATACATTTATTCAGATTTAGTCTGAGGTAGTCTAGCTTTCTTGCCTGCCTTCTGGAAGATCCCCTCAAATTCTTATAAAATAAATAAATTTAGGTTTTTTTCAGTTTAATAGCTACTTTTTTTTATTACATATTTTTAAGCTACAAAGAAATACTCCCACCTTTGACACATCTGGAAATCCTTTTTTCTTAATTTGTTATTTGCTTGTGCACTTAGTTCACACATGCTCTTGGTAGAGATAAGCTGCTTCTCACTGAAAGCCCCACCATCCCCAACTCATTTCCTACAGCCTGTGGCTGTTATCTCCATGATTATATCTGTGTTTCTGGCCCCACACCAGCTTGTCTACCTGTGTCCAACTTAAAATTCATGAATGTTCCATTTGATTTCAAGCTAACATTCCACTTCTGCAGCAGTGTCCATTGTTCAAAGAAGGAATTGCTCTGAGCTATTGATGCTGTTGTCATCTTCTTGCCCATGTTATGAACACTGCTAGCATACGCACTCTTGCAAAGTAACATAATCCATTTTAATTATGCATATCTTCCTGAATATCAGTCGTTATCTTTGCTCACACTGGTTTTCAGTGCATCTCTATATGCTATTTTTGTTAGCAAAAATATCTCTTTTTCATCTAATATTCTGGATTGCCCAGTGCTGCCTTATGTAGAAAAAATGCACCTTCAGTTACCACCTTTCATAAATGTTATTTTCTTTGTCACAGATTAATTCTGGCTTCTGAAACAGTCACTCCTGGGAGTATTTTGCCCCAGATCCTTGTCATGATCTTGTGTCTTACTAAAGATTTTGGACCCTAGGATTGTCTTGTTTGCCTTATGTGAGTCACAGACTATGTTTCTCTTTTTTGAGTCTTGGATTTCTAGCTAGACATAGATATAAATATAGATATAGATACATAGATATAGGTATAGATATAGATATAGATTTAGATATATATAGGTATATACACATACGCTTGCATGTATATATGTATGTATATATAGTAGGTATTTTTCATATAGAGTATATGTACACGTTTTTCTCCTGTGATGTTTTTCATCACTTCTCAGTGATGTCTCCAAAAGAGAGCTAAATGAAAACCATTAAGCACATAGGCTGCCTCAGATCAAAGTGTTGCCAGAAACAAAATTGCCTTCTGATTATCTTTTTGTTTGCTAGCATCCATATCTTGTGAATGGTGAAGTGAGATTTAAACCATCCTCAGTTGTCTGGAATATTTTCAGGGAGTTTCAATGTGCCATTCTCAACTTCCAGCCTCTTTCTTAGGACACTTTCCTCAGCTGTTTCTTCTCCTCCTGTCTTGTGTCATTCAGTAGGCTAAAAAGCCTAAGACCCATTTCATTCAGTACCTGAGTTTACCTATCAGCAGCAGATATCACTGCTGCATAACAGCTGGTCTGAGCTGGTGTGTGCTGAAAGTTCACTGCATCTTGAAACCCACAGAGCTTCTTGCTTAAGCAAAGCAGCTGATGCTGATGTGAGAACTCATGAGGCAGAACTGACTTTTTAAACCCTGGAGCCCAGCAGAGCCAGGCACAGTGAGGCAATTCCAGATACCCTCTTCCAAGGTCAGAGCATACTTTCCTGGGCCAGCAAATGCCTAGTGACCAGTGAGCTCAGATGGGCCCCTTCAGTGCTCAGGATCTGGGGAGAACATGATATAAAGCATTGTATAACTTTTTGCCAGAGACGTGAAAAGACACAGCAAATTTTGGGCTGGGCTAGAAAAAGCAGGAATTTGAGGTTATAGTCCATCCTGGCCAGACCCAGTCCAAGCCCCATGGTCTGTTGGGGAACACCACTATTGCAAACTGTTGATTCATCAAGAGGTTTGCACAAGGTTTCAGGCAGCCTCACACTGGGCAATCTGATAGATACAGACCTGCTGCAGGCAGTCCCATACCCTTGCCACATTCTGCAAGGGAGTTGACAGCCAGCCCTAGATTAGTGACATCAAGCACCAATTTTGGTTCACAGCAACCTCCTTTCTCACTTCAACATCATCTTGTTTTTCTCTGGGCTAACATCCTCTCTTGGATGACTGGCAAGATTAAAAGATGGGGAGGGGCAGTAAAGCCCTGATTATATTTGTCCTGCATTTGCCACAAATGCTGATTGAATTAATATATCATAAAAGAGATTGCTTCAGCTTAGCCAGATGTTTACAGAACCAAGTGATCCAGGGAAATACTACTTATTCTGTTAGATTATACACACAGCCAAGAACACCATAGAAGTCAAGAGCTCACTCTTTACAAGCTGATATACAGAAGACAATGGGAACATCTGGCTTTTGCAAGACTGCAGCTTAAAGAATTCCTTCCATGAAGGTTTGAGATGTAACAATATTGTAGGCAAAAAGACAGTGACACAGAGTGCTAGTGTGGGGAGTCATAAACTCCCAAAACTGTCTTGTGAAAGACTCAGAACTACCTAAATATCAGTCCTCAGACTCCAAAATCACAGAGACCCCATCTTAAACAACTCCAAGGGTGAACCCACTTTGGCTAAGACCTGCTCTGACATGTGATATCTCTCCAGAACTTCCCAAAGGATGTGCCACAAGAACACCTGTGAGAATCCACTGTGTCCAGAGGACTTTCCCATCTTGCAGTCATCCTCCCACTTTTCTTTCAAACCACCATTTTATCCCTCAATAAGAAAGGTCACAGGAGACATTGGGCCTCAGAGGATTGTACTGGCACTAATTCGGGTTTTGTTATTTCAAAACAATCTGAGGCAATATGTTTTTAAGCTTGAGCAGATCTTTAATCAAACTTCCCAACAGCGTCTTTCATAATAGTGACAGTCCAGCAGGAACATGCAGAATTCTGAATTAAATCAAGTAGTAAATGAATATAACCAAGGTATTCTCAAAGCAAATACAACTAACCAGTTTGAAAATGGCAACTGGCTTTTGCTTTTTAATTGGGGTGACATTTTGCAAGGCCATTCCTTGGTGAGTTTCATATTCTCCCATTCTGTTCTGCTTTTCTTATTTGTATAGTGTTACCAAGGCATATATGAAATACATTTCAAAGTACAGATATCAGCTCATTTACAGCTAATTATAATAGGCAAGTGGTGCGGTAAATGGAACACCCGATTTTCTACCCTCTTTTTTTCCTTTTGGTTGAAGCTTTTGTGATGTTCTCCAGGTGACTCCCATGCATAATGTAACACTAGCAATGCTGTTTGCATAATAAGCTATTTTCTACCACAGAAGCAGAAACATTTTATCACTATAGAGAAGGCTTGGATTATGAATACATTTTCATATAAGTTGATTTATGTGAAAATTACCAATAAATGCATTCTAGCCATAAGTAAAATGTTTGTTCCTACTTTAAGTAGTAGCATTATTTGAAACTTAGGGGGAAGGGAAATGCATACCCCAACAAGGGAAACTATTTTATTAATATGATTCAAATGTCAGAGCTCACAGTCACCTTCTAAGGCATGGAGCACCCTCAGTTTCCTCCAGTTAAGTCAATCTGAGTGAAAAATGCTCAGCATTAGGCAGAAGTACTCTGCATCTCACCACATTGAACCACCAGTTCAGTGGTGTTTAATGCAGCATAAACACCAAACCAAACCCTTCTCTTACCCCGTGGCACCTTCTGCAGTCTCTACAACAGCTGTTTGTTGCCCTCTTATTTAAAATGCAGCTACATTTTTGTGTTATGATGTACATGTTTCCTCATTAGTATTTTCTTTCCTTTTTTTTTCCCCACATATTTATTTGAATTAGAGCAACACTCTCAGTAAGACCAGTTCAGTCTTACCTACCCACCAGTGCTATAGGAACAGGACTATAATGCCTGGGTCCAGCCCAGCAAATGCAGACAGGCATCAGCACCTCCATACACTGGAGTAGCCCCACTCCACTCTCTGAAAGTGGAGCAGTGGGGTTAAAAAAGGCTCCACGTGGCCCTACACCCATTTCGAGATCAGCACGGGATCACAGCTCACGTGTTTGGTCACAGATGAAATGTGACCTAGATGCATATAAAGCACCAGCACCAGTCTCAAAACTGACACCCTTGAGACTGAGCTGGTGCCTTTTGAAGCCAACAAAATAGAGGGCTTTGGATCTGGCCATTTGCATTGGAGGGTATCCCAGAACCAATTAATTGCCATCACAAGTGCATTTTTGATGGGCTAGGGTAAGGAGGCATTCCTCAGGAAGTGCTGGACTTCCTTCTATTCATTGAAGAGCTGATCCTGCAAAGTACATGCTGTAAGCAAGCCCTGGTCCTCCTGAGTCTGCAAGGACCTTGATGGAGCTGCCTGACACAGCAAGGCTGTATCTCAGTGGAGCAGATCAAGCCTCTACCTTTGAAACAATGAATGAATGTACACCTCAATTTTTCAAAGCAATATGCCACTCAGATCTCCTGCTAATGTAAATCAAGGCTGTTTTACTGACACCAGAGGAGTTCTGCTGATTTACATGAGCTGAATGTCTGAACCAATGCTGGTGATCAAGATTATTTCTGCTTAATAGAGATAACTCACACAAGAAAACTTTTCGTACACTCTTTCAATTGCTTTCAACTACAGAATTAAAAGGCTAACACTCATGTTGTAGGGTGTGGGGGGATTGACTACCGCGAATGTACAACACAACATTTTTGCATCAAACACCATTCTGCAGTTGTAAACATTGCTTAATGTCATAATTTCCCTGCAGATTTTGTACACTTCCGCAAAAAACACTCTCTTAGAAATCCACTGATTTCCCCTGCATTACGCCACAGAGGCTGGTGTGGACATTTTTCCAAATACATACTTTTCCCCTAAATGCCTTCCAGTTTTACTAATTAACTTCCTTCCCTTTTCTCTGCAGACCTGCCTGTGAGGAAGAGCACTGTTCAGCAAACAGCCTTGAGCACTATACCCCATTCTTCATTTCAGCAGCTGAGAAAACCCCGTGACTCTAACAAGTATCACTGAGCCTCAGTGGGAAAGAGCCCTCCGCAGCGGACTCACTGGTGCTCAAACCCACGCTGCTTGCTCCAGCCCTTCTTGACAGCAGGATACACAGCGCGCTGCCTTTGTGCAAAATCAGACAACACTGCTGCCCCCGGTTGCCTCCAGGCAAAATCCAGCATCATTCATTCCCACTCCCTGTCTGTTTCTCATTTACATTTGCTATTAGGATCACCTTAGAGAGCTGAAATAGCTGCATTTCTCACTGGAGTGAGGGATGTTTTGTATAAAATGTTAAATTAAACCCTTCTCCAAAGGGGATATACTCAGGACACACCCTGAGCCCTGGCTTCCCTGCACAACCAAGGCAGTGCTGCTGTGACCTGAAGTCTCCTGCTTAGGTGGCCAGATATGCACCATCAGCCTAGCAGCACAAGTCAGCCAGCCACTACAACTTGTGATTCATGTTATATGGTCAGCCCCTCTCAGCTGAGCATTCCCAGCCACATGTTTTGGCTCTGGATCTCTTGTTAGGGGAACTGCGAATATTTCCAAGTCTCTCCCGCACAGTGTCCCTTCCTGCTGTGCACTCGTGCAACTCCTATCGCAGATGGTTCCTGCCCTCTATCCTGCTTGGTACCTCTTCCTTCACAGCCAGCAGACTGTTTAATACTGCTAAAGATGCCTTAGTAAAATTTCTTGCCCCTTGAGATTTCTGTCTCCTCTCTGCTCTGCCACGGTCACTGCTGTGCTGTGGCAGCTCCATTGGCCCCAGCTGTGGGTCACCAAGCCAAAAGCTCTGACATGAAGAAGAAGCAGCCCAGTTACCCAACTGTGGACATGCCATGCTATCCTAGCAGAAGGTACCACCAAGAAATCCCTGGACAAGTTCTTCATTTAACACTGAACCTGGGGCTCCCAGTGTGAGGAGTCTGTTTCAACTGCCCTGGTCCTAATAACACTATTGATGCCAATTCACAAAGTAACGCTGACCCCTGCATCTTCTTATTTTCATTCTAAAACCATTTAAAAGTACATCTGTTTTACTACAATTAAATAAATTCATGCCTCTAACATAGTAACTAGTAAACTAGTACTGCTGGAGCATGGGTTCAAGAAATTAAACCAGTTCATATTCAAATGAGATGGTGTGGAGATTAAAGGTGGGAAGCAAGCTACAGAACAGGGGTGTTCGACCATGCAGTCTTAGTTACACATTTACTGTACCTATAATAGCTCGTTTTTCTATTTTAAACCCTACTAAGTGAAGACTATTTAAATGTACTGCTGTAGTAATAAAAGAAAAGGTCAACTCAATGTCTGCCTTGGCCATTAATCAATCTTTCCCATACTTTCTAATTATCTTGATTGCCTGATTGAATGAAGCATGGGACACTGATCAGCTATATGTTCCTTGGTTGTATGTGCTCTTGGCACCTTTTTTTTTTTTTTTGAAGACCAGAGAGAATATTTCATACAGTTACTTTTTTTTTTCTGAAGAAAGTCCCAAACTTCTTCCTGTCTCTGATAACCAACTTCTTGTCTGCCTTATCTCCCACCATTTTCTGTAGCAATTTTGCAGGCTGTTCCCTATAAAATTTTGAAGGGCCTTTAATCATCTCAGGCAGCAATTTTGTGTTGGTTTGTTTCCCTCTCCTTTTCAGTAATCTGGGATTCCCAGCATTATTCTCTCTCTCTCTCTCTCTGATTATGAATTGGAGCTTTTTATTTTTAGAGGGAGCTTAATGCAATGCAATAACACACAAACACAGGAACAAATTATAGACATGAAAAGATCAGACTTTTTTTATAGTGATAATTCCATTTTACTCCTGGGTGTCACATATCCATGAGGGACCCTAGAACTTCAGCAAGAGCTGCCAGACAGCTCATTACCAAGACATCCAGGGCTGCACAGCAGGTCTCCATCCCTGGGTGACAGGGACAGCCTTGTGGAAAGACCGTGGCAGGGGACCGGCAGCAGGTTAGATGCAGACAGCTTAGATCCAGCCCAGGGACTAGAAATGAATGTAGCAAATGTCATACAGAAAGGGGCAATTGTGCAGCTCCCATATGAGCTCTGTGAAATGATTTAGTCCCGGTTCTGCTGTACAGAAAGTACCAGGGAGACAGGAGATCTGCAAGGTTGGAAAACTCATCTTAATTCTTCTGTATGGAATTCACTGGGAGCCTGGGATATTTGAAGAATGCAAAATTTGGAAGTATTTCTCACCACCTTTGATTATCTCTCAGTTTGATTGAATGAATCATGCATCCCAGCTCCTTCAGATATCCATTAATGCCAAACAAAGCGTAACCCATCACTGGGTTTTTTTAAGGTTGGTTTTTTTCCTGTTCATAAATAGCTTGAGAACAAACTCTATTCATTGTTCAAAATCTTTGTCCAGTACTTTTTGCAACTTACACAGGGCCTGCAATCTGCTCATGTAGCTTATGGTAAGCACTGTCTTCCTTCACAGCTGCATCAGTGGGCAGGTAAGCCCTACAGCCTTTCAGCAAGAGACACCAGCCAACCTCTGCAACCTCTGCAAACCTCATTCCTTGCTAGAACTAGTGTGTGCTGGTGGTGTCAGGCTGGGGTGCTCCTCCCATGTCCCCAGAACTTCAGTCAGACTGTGTCTCTGAGGTATGGTATAAAGATGGAGCTGGAATATTGCTGGCAAAAGGTTTCCTATTTTTCATTGTGTGAATGTTGTTATAACAGAAGTAACTCTGGCTGTTAACATCGCCACTCTTTACATACTGCCAGCCTCAAACTCAGGGTAATTTCCTCAGCAACTCACAGGCAGTGGACTGAAGCTGGGAGAACCAAAGCACACCACACTCCTCAGTGCAGCACCGGGATCATCAAGCCAGGGCTGAGCGAGCTGGGACCTTTCCAAAGCAGTATTACCTTGGGTCCTGAAAAAGGTCAGCTGAGGATGCTTGAGTGCCACAACCATTTAATCTCCACTCTTCCAAATTTTAATGGCAGAAACAATCCACAATGATGTTTGAGTTGATCCTGCTGTTCTGCATACCCTGATGGCTAACTCTTGGTGCTTCTGCATATTAACCACATACCAGATGAACCTATCATTCCCCACTGAAGATGCAGAGATCCTGGCAATCTGATTGTTTGTTTGTTTGTTTTGACCACTTTGCTGGTTCAGTTTATGCATTGCAGAGCCATGCTGGCAGCAGCTGTGGTACTGATAGCGGAATAAAGTCCACAACTTCGTTAAAGTTGTAAAGTAGGTATGCTTTATTCAGCTGAAGACGCACAGGGGATTGATCCTCCAAAAGGCATGCGTGCGTCAGTGTTGTTTCCCTCTACATTTATCCTCTAACGTTACAAGGTTGCACAATACGCCTATACATATTCATATTCTATCCCCACTTCGTATTATAATGACCTAGAAAGTCCTCTGCGCCTGCGCAGTGCCCCTCTGGTCATGGGCAGGGGTCTCAAGATGAAGTAAATGAGTCTTCCTCTTGTGGGTAGGGGTCTTCAAGATGAAGTAAATGAGTCTTCCTCTTCTTGAACTTGTCACCTTTTAGTCTTCACACATATGGCCTTAGGGTTTGGTCAGTGCCCCACCCATAAACCATCTGCTTCTTCCTTATCAATAGCTACTTATCATTATAATCAGGTGTCTGCTTATCAATGGGACCAGGTGTCTGCTTTTGCTTATCAATAGGACTTGGTGTCTTTGTTCTGCTTAGTAAGCACTTACAACAGCCAATACCTTGTCTAGGCAAGTAAATTCCTCTAACCCCCCCTGTACTACCCCGCCTTACATTGGTCAACCCTCTGCATCAGTACCTTGCTAGATCTCAGCCCCAGCAAATCATTCACGTTACTAGAAATAAACAGTACAGCCAGGTTAGGATGGGTTAAGGGAGGTTACTGTTCTTTTACTTTGTATTATTTCCTAGCCTTTCAAAGACAATCCCATAGCAATAAACAAAACAGTATCTCTAATGGAGAATTACTAGCTGCAAAATTACAAACTTCGGTTCCAGTAATAGTACATTCAAGCAATATTTACATGACAAATAAGAAAAACCTCTGACAGAAGAATCTTTCATATACTTGTCTAGTTTTATCACTCAGCTCACAGTTTTATCTTGCATTTAATCATATTGCCCTTCATCTGCCATTCAGTAGCCAAAGTACTAAAATAGCCTTAATCTCTCTGTATCTCATTACAATGTGAGACTATGGTTTTGCAAAACTTTCTGTTAAGTATGATATATCTCAGCTGCATAAAATATATGCCCAAAATGCGTACAGTACATTGAATTGTACTATAAATTCTAGAACCATCTTAAAAGCAAAAGCACTGGATAAAATGATGCAGAAAATACAGAGTGATGGGTAGGTAAAGTTATTAATAGATCATAAAGGCAAATGAAAAATATCAAATGCAATCTCATTTAATAAAGAACACAGAGAAATACACATCACTGGGTCTGATGGCATAAGACTTACTTTGAAAACTGCATCCTTCCTTCCTCAGAGCTTATAATAAAGGGCTCCATGGCATCTGTTTAGGGCAAATACAGCTGTGGAGAAATCACCGTGTTTTGTTTTTCATTTCTAAATCTGTAGTCAGTGTGACATAACATATTTTCAGGCCAGCATAACAGGATGCAGTAAGTCAACAATATTTATAAAGATTGCTATTTACTTGATTAACTCTGCATCAGCTTTAGGCCATAGATATTCAGTACCACATAGCACTTGGTCCTTAACCGGATGTGATTGTTGCTGCACCTTGGTGTTAAATTTACTCTCCACCTGCCTGGCGTTTACAAGTGGAAATCCCTACCAGTAAATGTATGTGTTAATAATATTATTGTAATTATTATTATTATTACTACTTCTACTATTACTACTATTATTTTAGCCTCAGCTTGATGCTTGAGGAGCAAGGGTGCTGTGGAAATCTCTGGAATGGCTAAATTTGGCCTGTAATAGTATGCTACAGATAGCTGGCAATTTATGAGTTACACATTCCATTTGTCTACGTCGGTTTCTGTATATTTTAAGATCCCTGCTTTTAAGCATCTTTAAGACCCCTGTTGTTTCAATTACTTGACACTGTGGCCTGAGGTATCATTACTATGCTGAGGATAATAACCGACTCCTCCTATTTCTGTTGATGGAGCTGTGACTAACATGATCAAG